TCTCACTTCTTTAGGATATATACCTAGTAATGGAATGGCTGGGTCAAATGGTATTTCTAATTCCAACTTTTGAAGGAATCACCATACTGCTTTCCACAGTGGTTGTACCATTTTACAGTCCCACCAGCAGTGTATGAGAGTCCAATCTCTCCACATCCTCACCAGTATTTGTTATTTTCTGTCTTGTTGAACTTTGCTACTAGTTCTGAAGCAAGGTGTATCTCACTGTTTTGATTTGCATCTCTCTAGTGGCTAATGATCATGAGCATCTCTTCATATGTTTGTTAGCCACCTGAATATCCTCTTTGATGAAGTATCTATTCATGTCTTCTGCCCATTTTTGAATTGGATTATTTGTCTTTTTGTTGTTGAGGTGTTGGAATTTTCTATAAATTCTAGAGATAAGCCCCTTGTCAGATATGTCATTGCCAAATAGTTTTTCCCAATCTGTAGGTTCTCTTTAGACTTGTCTTTATTTTTTAATTTACTTAATACTCAAATGGCCTCTGCATTCAGAGAATGGAAAAAGCAAGATAGATTTCTTTTAGATTATATATAAAAAAGAATTTACTCTGAATATTTTTCTGGGAATTTAAAATTTTCTAATTATACCATAACACTTTTTTTTTTAATGGTTTCAAATTCTTGTATAGTACTTTTTATTTCATTTTGACTCATTACTCCTAGCAACAGTGCTGTGAGAGAGGTGACTGTTTGACACTCTCTTTTATAGACAGGAAGTTGAGTTCTGTTGGGTAACCAGCTTGCTCAGGGTCAGGATCCCTCACTAGAATTTATAGCCATGGACGTTAATTAGCTAATGGCCACTGTCTATTAATCTGCCTTCCTAAAGCTGAATAACCAAGAAGGAACTCTTACTATTCTCACAATGACTGATATTTGCTTTCATAATGCCACTTCTGCCTGAAACAGACCATATCCATCACAGAAATATGCTTGTGTAATTACCGGTGATACTACATTTAAAGACCATAGACCTTCAGAAGACCTAATATAATTTCGTAACACTCTTATTCTTTTTTATTTTTATTATTTATTTATTTATTCTGCTGCTCAAGTCCTTTATTTTCATTCTTTGAAGTAGGTAGACATATGTTTTTAATGTTACATCATAGTGTAAAAAATTGCCGATATATAATAATGGTAAATGTTGTATTAGGCACATTTAAAGTAGTACTTTTTCTGATTGTAAAATTAAAACACTTTGATGGTAGAAAATTTAGAAAATATAAATGAATTAAAACAAAAATAAGTCTCACATATATTTCCATTATCCATAGATAACATCAGTTCATATATTGGGGATTTTTCTTACTGTCTCCTTTCCACATAAATATGTATATATTTTCTAAGTGAGATTCCCATGATATAAAATTACTTATATCAATGTTTTCAGTGAATATTATGCTATCCAGTATTTTTTCATGTAATTAAATATTTTTTGAAAATATCATTTTTAATGGCTGGAAATTATCCAATGAACAATAGTTTATTTAACTATTGCCCTAAAGTTGGAGCTTTGGTGTTTTTTTCCACAGTTTTCCCCTATTACAAGAAATACTATCTCACATTATTTTCTCAAGATGCTTTTCTTATTCCTTTTTAAAATAGCATTTGTTTAATAACTTCATGTCACAGTAACTAGTTTAATAACTATTTAAAAGGGTTACAAATTGTTTTAAAAACTATCCCATTATCAGTATAAACAGATTATCACCTGTTCTTAATTTAACTGTCTCATCTCCAATCTCAGTACTAATTCAAAGCCAAAACAGCCACTTAGCTATCAGCCTGAACTCATCTGACATGTGTGTATACATATGTGCATTCTTGTATCTATATGGATGTTGGAGGAGACTAGAACTTGTTCTTGAGCATAGAGTAGCTAAAGCAAATAGAAGAAATGATGAAGAAAAAGAGCTGAACAGAAGATTTCAAAGGGTGGCTGGAGAAGATTAAGTAAGGTATTATGATGAAATATGCAGATACCTGGAGTTAGAAAAACAAAAAGGGAGAACATACTCAGCATTTCTCAAGCTGAAAGAACTAAAGAAAAAATTCAAGTCTTGAATTGCAATATTGAAAGATTTTATGGGCAAAATATTGAACAATGCAGGAAGCATCAGAAGAAGATGGAAAGAATATTCAGTCACTATACCAAAAAGAATTAGTCAAAATTCACTCATCACCAGAGGTAGCATATGATCCAGAACCAATGGTACTGAAGGCTCCAGAAATTGACAATACCATTTGAGATGTTTCAACAAACTGATGCTATGCTGGAAGCACTCAGTCATGTATGCCATGAAATTTGGAAGACAACTCTCTGGCTAACCAACTGGAAGAGATCCATGTTTGTGCCCATTCCAAAGAAAGGGGATCCAACAGGAGGCAGAAATGACTGAGCAGTGTAATTAGTACCACACACAACTACAATTTTGCTGAAGATAAGTAAAAAAAATGGTTGCAGCAGTAAATTGACAGGGAACTGCCAGAAACTCAAACTGGATTCAGAAGAGGATGTTGGATGAGGGTTATCATTGCTGATGTCAGATGGATCTTGGCTGAAAGCAGAGAATACCAGAAAGATGTTTACCTGTGTTCAATTGACTATGCAAATGTATTCAACTGTGTGGATCATAACAAATTGTGCATGAGATCACAAAAAATGGGAATTTCAGAACACTTAATTTTGCTCATGCAAAACTTATACATAGACCAAGGGGTGGTGTTCAGACCAGACAAGAGAATGTTGCATGGTTTCAGATCAAGAAAGGTGTGCATTAGAGTTATATCTTTTCACCACACTTATTCAGTCTATATGCTGAACAAATGATCCAAGAAGCTGGACTATATGAAGAAGAACACAGCATTTGGATTGGAGGAAGAATCATTAACAACCTGATACATAGATATACAGTTTTGCTGACTGAAAGCAAAGAGGATTTGAAGCATTTAGTGATAAAGGTCAAAGACTACATCCTTCAGTATGGATTACTCTTCAACATAAAGAAAATAGAAACCTTCACAACTGGACCAATAGCCAGCATCATGATAAACTGAAAAAAAGATTGATGTTGTCAAAGATTTCATTTTACTTTGATTTGCAATCAATGCTCATGGAAGCAGCAGTCACGAAATCAGACAATGCATTGCACTGAGAAGATCTGCAAAAGACCTCTTTAAAGTGTTAAAAAGCAAAGATGTCACTTTGAGGACAAACATGTGCCTGACCCAAGACATGGTCTTTTCAATTGCATCATATGCAGGCTAAAGCTGGACAATGAATAAGGAAGACTGAAGAAGAATTGGTACATTTGAATTATGGCATTGGGAAAGATTATTAAACATACCATGGACTTCCAGAAGAATAAACAAATCTTTCTTGGAAGAAATACAGCCAAATGTTCATTAGAAATGAAGATGGCAGAACTTTGTCTCATGTACTTTGGGCATGTTCCTAGGAGGTCCCAGTCCCTAGAGAAGGACATCATGCTTGGTAAAGCAGAGGGTCAGTGAAAAAGAGGAAGACCTTCAATGAGATGGATTGATAGAGTGGCTGCAACAGTGGGCTTAAACACAGCAATAGTTGTGAGGATGGTAAAGCACCCTCAGTGTTTCATTCAGTTATACATGTAGTTGCTATGAGTTGGAACAGACTCTACAGCATCTAACAACTCATTTCTTGGTTGAATCTCTGAGAAAGTCTTCCCTATATCTCGATATTCCCTAGTTAAAGGGCATGTATCCAGCAGCCACTCAATTATTGCACACTGATGATGACCATGATCATGGAAATGCAGGATATAAGGTATCAAATGAAATCTCTTCTTTTCTTTCCAGGCCCCCTCCCTCCACCTCCTCCAATAAGCAGGAATGGCAGCACATCTCGGGCCCTGCCTGCCACTCCTCAGCTGCCGTCCAGGAGTGGACTAGATAGCCCCAGAAGTGGAGCCAGGCCTCCTCTTCCTCCCGATCGGCCTGGTGCTGGGGCACCTCCCCCACCTCCCCCATCCACATCAATTAGAAATGGCTTCCAAGACTCATCTTGTGAAGGTGAGAGGGGATTCTCACTCCTTAGAAACTTTTCCAAGCTATAGAGCAGCAATCAAATGGTGAATTTGCTTTTTGCATTTAACTTTTTTTGCTTTGTATTACCTTCATTGTTATCACACTGCACTGTGTTGATCTATTTTAGGGGCCACCATGATTTCAGATTAAAAATAGTAATCACTTCCTACCACTTCCTAAAAAGGCAGATAATTTTTCTCTGACCTGTTCCTTGTTTGAGTCTCATCTTTGGTTCACTTGTCAGAGATTCCAGAATTCTGGAAAGAGCCATCGTTGTAGCTTACCTTATTATTATTTCCATTTCTAAACATTTTGTACAGGTAAGAGGCCAGAGGCCTACAGATAAGATACTAAGTTGCCATTGTTATCTGAGTGGCCCTAGTTATTCATGGGCCTACTGGTGGGAAGAAAGATGTCCCAGACCTTGGACCCAGCTCCTGAAAGGGACTGGCTGGGTCCTCATCACTGTAGTTGTGTTATCAGCTGCCTTTGTTTTGAGTTGTAGGCTGGTATATTTTATTGATGTGCTGATCAGTGACATTTATAGTACTTGCAACTTTTCTTAAATGTTTAGGCATAAAACTAGAAGTGATTTTTGTAGTTATGTTTTTCATTCTTTGCTTTTTATTACATAACATCTTCATAGCAGATTGTCTGTCACTGAAGATCCTGTTCGTTTCTCCTTAGATGAGTGGGAAAGCAGATTCTACTTCCATCCAATTTCTGATTTGCCTCCTCCAGAGCCATATGTACCAACGACCAAAAGTTATCCCAGTAAATTAGCAAGAAATGAAAGCCGGAGTAAGTATTTCTGCAAGGGCATTTGGTAGATTCCATCTTTAATGTAGTGAGTGGGCTGTGTGCCATGGGTAGTACAGGAATTCCAGGCCTCTTGCCTGGAATGGGCAGAAAACCCCATTCAAAACCATATATATTCTGGTCCACTCCCCTTCTACACACAATAAGGAAATGGGAGATATCCAGAATATATAGGAGAAATGGTTATTTTAATATGTCATTATCAGCTGGCAATACCTTTGGTTTGCTTGTTATGTGCCGTCGAGTCGGCCCCGACTCCTAGCGACCCCTCCTTGGGTTTCCGAGGCAGTTATCACTACGGAAGTAGGATTGCCCAACCTTCCTTCCGAGGAGTGGCTGGTGGGTTTGAACCGCCAGCC